GGGGGGGGGGGGGGAATTGCAGCTACAGGCAGACACGGGTACCAACTTGCTCATTGGCCAGAACCGTTTGATCGATGGGATCCCATTGCACGCTTGCGGTTGCTTGGTAGGCCAAACCGCGCTTGAAAAGTTGTAAAAATATCCACTGTGGAGGCGATACAAAGAGTTTCAGCTCGGATCACCGACGATGATGACAAGAGAGGAAGCATCAGATGCATGATCAGGGCGCGCTTACTTGAGTCCATTTATAATAGGCGGGGTCGCAGGTGGCCAGTTCACGCGACCAATCAAAGCTCAGGCCGAGCTTGTCCAGCTGTGCTTTCATAGACTTGATATTGCTGCTCACCATGCGTTGTGGGTCCAGATTCAGGGCAGTAGCAAGCACAAACATGAGCAAGGACACGAGAATCAGTAGGTGTTGTAAGTTTGAGCGCCTGACTGTACTCCTCTCCGGTAGCGGCCACCAGAATATTGTGCAAGGGGTGAGGAATGAGTGAGCAACCACACCTTTGTGTCCAGCGAGCTGGATCCAATCCGCGTTCCATAGCAGCATTTTCGGCAGGAAGGCCAAAGGCATCCCAGCCCATGGGATGAAGGACGGGCACACCCTTGAGACGATGGTAACGGGCCAGACAATCGCTGATGGTGTAGACGCGCACGTGACCCATATGTAGATTACCGCTCGGATACGGGAACATGGAAAGAATGTACTGTGCATCGCTTGTTTCAGACGGGGCCGCCCAGGCAGCAGCAGCCACGCGCTTTCGCCATTTCTCCTCGATGGACTGCGTCTGTATACCGCGATGAACGGAGTTTGACAGGGCCACCACACCCTGAGCCCTCTGATATGCCGAGCGGCGGGTCACGCTGACGAGCGCCATGTGGACAGTGCCAAGTTCACACAAAGACGGCCACGAGCAGCCCGAAATTTGCTTCAACCCACACACTAGACCCCCATGAACCCTGGCATGACGTCTCGCCTGTCATCAACGTGCTGGCATTGGGCAGAGGATGGGGCAGACACGCTCAATGACTCAGCTGCTCCAACAGCAGCGCCCCAATGGATGCCCCTCCTCGTGTCTGGCGCGAAAAACAAGTGAAATCACCTATTTGCGTAAGTGACCAAAACTTTCTGACATTTCACGATGGGTCGTCCCTTTAGCTCGAAGCTCTTGAAGCAATAAGCTCTAAGCTCTAAAGGCGGTTTCGGCCCTAGCTCATGTCCAACGGCTTCCGCCTGCCCGCCCAATTTCCAGTCATCGTTCTCACGTGGAGAGGGAGAAAGCAACTGATTAATATTGATTACGGGCAAAAAGGACGAAACGGACAAAGTGATACAGATGCCCAAACAAGTGGCTGAGGCCGTTGGCCGGCCAAGGATCGCGCAGCTTCTACCGCTTGCTGCGCTTACTCTCGGGCTCCATGTTGGCCATCTGCGTTTGGAACACGTGTTGTGAGGCGTTGTGTAGCCGAAATGAAAACACAGCAGCATGCTCGCTTTGCCGGAAAAATGAAAATACATGAATAAATAAATAATCGGATAGACGGTGAACAGAAGCAGGACTTACGTGACTGTGACCAGGTGCCGGACCCTCCTCCCGCGCCTACCATCAGCAAGAACCAGGGAAAAAAGCGTGGCCCAGCGAGAAAGGAAGGTGAGCTGCGCTGAGCCGATTCAGGAACTTAAGAGGCCAACATCACCAAGGCATGGCACGAACGCGTCGCTCATCGCCGCCATCAACGTAGTGTTGGACTGAGGGACACACGCCATTGCTCACGGTCCGCTCGAGCAAGTAAAAAATGTACTCTACGCCCCCCAGTAGCAAGTGTTAGGGTACGCAACACCTCCAGCCAAAAAGCAAGTTGTTTCAGATGTAATCGGGCAAACAAAAACACACACACACACACACAATACATTCATACATTCATACATACACACACAAATGACGGACGGGAAAACAAAACTGGTAAAAAAAAAAAAAAATGCACCAATGAGCGGTCGTACCATCACTTAGGAGGCGCATGAGATGATACATGCCAAAGCTCGTCGCCGAGCGCAGTGTCAAATCACGGATCACAAGAGAACTGTCACACCCGTGCCGGTATTGCAGCAACGTGAGAGCAAGTGATTTGAGTGCAAACGCTTTAGAGTGACGGTCTGGCTTGTGTCGCCAGCTGAACACTCACGTGAGGGTGGACCATTTGAGCTGAAATTCGCCGGCGCGCGCTGCCAGATCAGGAGTTTTAAAGTAGGGACCCAAAACTTGTTGAACCACCTGACCATGTGACCAAGGTATGCCAGATGGAATGAGATTGAAAGCTACGGCTGCCAACTCTTTCACCAAGTCAATCAACCGGCCTGAGGCGGGCATGAATGGGCACATACCCCTTGCAACCAAGCCGCCCAGGCCTCAACGGTCGTGGCAGAGGCTTGCATCGTCTTGAACTTGGCCTCCATTCTACGCAATGTCACCACTCATAAGCTGAGCTTGGCTCACAAATGCTACAAGTGCGCGCGATGGCCCGCGCCTGAAATCAAGAGCGCGCTCAAAATTTGTCAGAGATGAGGGACAACGCGCAAGAGGGATCGACGTACTCGACCAGCATTTGTGCTGAGCAATCCTCGCATAGCCACAATAATTGTTCCTTGATGCTCTCAAAGTCCACCTTGGAATAATCATCGCACATCTGAAACGGGGTCAAAATGAGCCGAGCAGGAACAGGCGGATAGCAAGCATGATGGTGTTCATGCCGCACCGTTTGTACATGGCTCTCCTGCGCCAAGACGGCTCGAGCCGCAGTTGAAAGGTGATTCAAAGCTGTATGACGACGCAAACGCTGCAATGACAACAAGAGCATCAAAATCGGCCAAAGCGAATGGAGCCCCCTCAGCGTGAGTCAGCAAGGGCGGCAGTGTTACCATCGTCACAAGATGGCTCGCGCGATCGACACGCCAAGAAACGCTGAATGCAAGTAAGGGCGACGAGTACAGACATGAGCAAAAAGACTGAGTTCGAGCCGTTTGGCCTCGCCGAATGTTGTGGGCAGGTTGGCAGTGGCCTAGAGATGCGTGAGGTCGATTCGGCATGAGAAATAAAAAAAGGACTATTTGGTGGAGCCTTGGTGGGCAACCAAGATGACATGTGGGCTGAACAAACCTTTTCCATCCATTCCTCGAGGCGCTTGGAAAAAGTGCGCACAAGCTTGGCGAAGTGGGGTGAGCAGCGCTGAAGGACATCAGGCAAAAGGAGGTCGACAGCCCGCTCGTATACGTTTCGGTCGTGCTGCCGGGCATAGAGTGCGGCATCTGGGTTGTTCATGACATGAAGAATGTTGGCTGGTGCTTCTGCCCAAACTGACATCCACAAGCGTTCAACCTAGGTTCAGAAGCACCCAGCCGCGTGTTGGCAGCGTTTGGCAGCGTCAGGGTTGAGCACAGACAAGCAACAGCTGCCCTTTGGCCATGTTTGCAGGAATCCCCCCGCACCTCGTCAAAGTTTTCCGATTGGATGCAGCCCAGGAACTGTTTGTTCTGCTCGGGAAGATGCACACATCCGACGATGTGTGAGTCGATCAACAGAGAGTAGTCGAGACACAATGATTTGGTCTAGCAGGTCATCACGACAAGATTCAAAAGGATTGATGTGTTCAAGAAGGAAGCAGCATACGGACGTGGCGCTCATAGTAGTCGATGAAAGCACTGTCTGTCAAATTGCTTTGGATCCGTTGCTGTCCAAAAAGGCACGCGAATGAGTTTTTGCGCGCTCGGAGGCAAGCGTCGCAAGATCGCTGGCCATGGACAACGGCGCTGCACACCTGCAACTGTGCGAACATGATGGCGGGGCAAGCGAGCGCAAGCGCCAAGCCCAAGTCGAACGCCTTGAGAAGATTCAGGCAAACACAAACACAATGCCAATGGGGATGTTGTCAAAGAGGGACGCGAATTCTACGTCAAGAGAAGCAGGGCTCGTGGACGCTAACGACGATGCGAGAGCCGGTCAACATGAGGAGCTTGCGTGGTGGCACGGAATCTGAACTCGTCCCCGAAAGAGCATGATTACCCATTGAAATTTGTCCATTGCTGCTTCACGGCATCCCACGCCATCTTCTCAAGACAAAGAGGCTCCATTCAATCGTACCTGATCGCACTGCTCAAATGACTTGAGCACCAGAACCGCCGTGCCGTGCCCTTGTGGAACGCCCTGGCACAAAAATCCACCGCCACCCCCAATGCTGCCCCGCAACCGTTTTTTTTTTTTTCCAAAAACTCAAAAACCGAAAAGTTTTGTCTGACGTGAACACCACCACATCCTTCTTCGTCTGCTGACATGTGAATGCTCTGGATTTCTTTCTTTTTGCATGTCATTGTCGTAGGCGTCAACGCAAAGAAAGAAGAAGAAGAAGAAGAAACTTTGGTAAGTGTGGAAGACCCAGAAAAAAAAAAAAAAAAAAAAAAAAACGAGGGGAGGGGTGCTCTGTGGTGCCAGTGGCAGGAAAGGACTCTCATGGGAGCCAGGTACTGGGAGCAAGAGTGAGAAAGCCGCCTTGCTATGCTTGCCCAGAGGTGGGCTATCGACTGACGGTTCTGCCTTCTCCTTCATTGGATGGATAGATTAGATTGTACACCAATCATGGCTGAGGCAAAGCGACCAAAGATCAGTGGTGATGCGCGTGAAACAGCGCTGACGGCGGCCACGGCCCGCAAGTGGTCCCTTGTCGAGGGGCGAGATGCCATCTATAAGGAGTACGCCTTTAAGGATTTCAACGAGGCCTGGGGTTTCATGGCTCGCGTGGCACTCAAGGCAGAGCAGATGAACCACCACCCGGAATGGTTCAACGTCTACAACCAAGTCAAGGTGACCCTGAGCACCCATGATGCCGGAGGTCTCTCTGAAAGCGACTTTGCCCTTGCAGACTTTATGGACGCGGTTGCAGGCCAGTCATAGATTTTTGAGCCCGCTAAAAAAAAAATCTACCTTCTGAATGCTCTTTTGCAGACGAAAGTCTCTTTCTATGCGCCTTGCCCCCCCCCCCCCCCTTGCCTTGCCGAAGCATCCCCGTTAGCTCTGCACCGCGGTTATGAGAGAGGACTCATCCACAAACATGGATTCAAAAAGAGCGGTGCAAGAGAGGAAGGCAAGTCAAGCTCACATGGCTCACACAAGTAACATGAATCTCGCAACATGAAGACAACATCCAACCGCATGCCCTTCTGCTTGGAGAAGAAGAAAGGCTGGGCTTGCAATTTTAACGCACAATCTCGCTGGTACGCACACAAGACATGAAATGAAGACGCAGATTTATTGAGGCTGACCGAAGATAAGTCAACACATGGCGGTGCCAGCGGTCTCCCACCCAATGTGCTCAGACGTCGTCTCCTGACCAATGGCCAAGTCGGGAACCACCACGCTGGTCGATAGGCACTCGGCAAGACGTGGGACCGTCCTGCTGTGCGTCAAGGTATGCGTGGCAGGCTCCTGACCCAGCTCACCAGAAGGAAACAAGTCGGAAGCCATTGAGTACAGGGAAAACCGGCTCGTTGTGGATCAGGCAGGTCCACAACAAGTTTGGCACCGCACATGTTGATGACGTCCGCAGTTCGACCTCGGTCCGATCAGAAAACAAGGCCTGTCACTGTTGGACTAGTACGCCAACAGCGTCGGGCTTGTCAGCGCAAAATCTGATTCTTCAAGAACGGGAAAGTCAAAGTCGACCATGCCCTTGTCGGCATCAGAGCTAAACCGTCCCAGTAGGTCCTGTGTCAAGAGGTCAAAGTCATCATCCGTCACCTGCAAGAAGGCGCTGTCAAACTCGTCCGTCAGAGCGGGCATGGGCAGTTCGCTGCTGGCCTGAAGTGTTGCAGCGGGTCCCATGCCTGTAGCGAGTTGATCAACGGGTGTCGACACATCTGTTGTCGACAGCGAGGCAGTCGTTGGCAAGATGCTGGGCACCACTAGCTGTGGTGCTGCTGTCGGCGCTGCTGCTGCTGCTGCTGCTGCTGCTGCTGCTGCTGACATGGACATGCTCGGTGCTGCCAGATTGGATTTGGATGCAGATGCAGGTTCGCCCGTGCTGAGAGCTCCTGGCTGAGGTTGAGAGGCAGTACAGAGGGGAAGGGCATGATCCAGATCCAAGCGTCGTGCGGCAGATGGTGTGCCACTGAGCGGGATAGTGGAGGCCGGCATGAGCCCAATGGGTCGACCCATTTGCGAGGGATGTTGCTGATAGGGATGTTGGTAAGTAAGATGGTTACCAAGATAGGCTGGGGTTTGATAGTAGCCTGAAAACAAGGGCATGCCGTCCGCACGTCGATATGGCTTGGTTGGTGTCATCTCTACCGAGCCATGCATCTTCAAGGGATTGCTTGCCTTGGAGCGACGTCGGCGGCGGACCTGTACACCCGCGAGTTTGCGCTCGTGCTTGAGGCGGCAAGCCTCAATATCACTGCGCATGTCGTCTTCACGACCAGGAGCGAGGGCCCAGAGACTGCCCTTGCGTGCATCAGGAATCTCGCGGTCGATTTTGATGAAATACTTGTTCAGGCTCAGATTGTGGCGAATCGAGTTTTTCCAACCTGATTTGGCTGTGCGAAAGTAAGGGAACCGCTCAAGGATAAACTCGTAAATGTATGCCACCCCCACGGACCCAGGTCCGTGGTGCAGCATGCCCATGCCAATTAGGCAGGGAAATGAATAAGGAGGCTTGGCAAAAGGGTCCTGGGGCCAGGCTGCCGCGCGTCGGGCATTAATGTCCACAAGTGTGTCTAGCGAAGCTCCACGATTGAGCGGGGCTTTGGCCGCATTGGCACGACTCAAGGTCGGGACCGATGTGGACGGCGGACTGGCCGTAGGTTGTTGTTGTTGTTGTTGTTGTTGTTGTTGTGTTTGTTGCTGTGCTTGTAGCGCTGCTTGTTGCTGTGCTTGCTGCTGCGTTTGCTGTTGTGCGTATGGCTGAGTGTGCATGGTACTTGGCTGCGTCGGGAAGGAGTGGCAGGCCATCTGCGGCTGCTGGCCAGCAATGCAAGGAGCATCTGAATAGGCTGGCTGGTGCATGGGTGAGGGAGAGCTCGCAACCGGTGAAACAGGATGACTGCTGGCTACCGAGCCGAAATCAAAGGGATCCGATACGCTCGTGTGGTTGGTATCCGGGGCCGGGGAGGAGGCCGCTGATGAGGAGACAGCCATACCCTCCTTGAGGGACTGCAATGATTTGTCAGAGAGCTCGCCCATGCTTGCACTGGCATCACTGAGCATGTCCACGTCCGTGTGCACTGCGAGGTCATACTCTGCCCATGCCATCCATACAACGAAGCACGGTGAGGCTTCCGTCATGCGGTACTGCCCAGGCAGGCAAGATTCAGCCGTGCATACCTTTTGATTCCAATAGAACAGGCATGGAAAATGATCGCTGGACCATTGAGGGTACGTCTGGCTGAGATTGCGACATGTTCAAGGTCATGGCGAATCTGGGCATGCCAATTCCAAGTCCTTGGTCGCAGCTTGGCTGTTGTGGGTGTTGTTTTGAAGCTTGATTTTGATTTTATTTTACTTTTTTTTATCAAGGGTAGACGACGAGACGAAGATAGACCTATGATTCGGATGCCAAAGTGATCGGTGCAGGTGGGAGTGAGGTTTGGCGCGTGGCGATGGGAGCCGGCTTGACGTGAGGTGAGCCCGAGGTGAGGGGAAGGCAAGCCATACTTACGAGACAAGAGACGAAACAATGGTGGCCCCCCGGTGCTGGATCCCTGGCAGATGTACACAAACCTTCAAAACTGGTACAAGTCGTGGACGATGGTAGATGACGATGACGAAGCGAATACAAAACAAGATGGGGCCAGGGTCGACGGAAAAGATGTTCTCAAAAAGAGGCAGACAACGCGCTTTCGCAAAATCGAAAGCGACGCCGCTTGACCGAGAACGGTAGCACCGGGAGGCAGGAATAGAGGAGCCAAGGCTCGCGCAAGAAGCGATCAAAAAATCGAGTTGAAGTAATAGGAATTTTGGAAAATGCCGACGGGCAGGTGCACTCGGGCCCCACTGGCCTGACGTTTCACGGCGGTAGTTGTTGTTGTGGGTGACATGATCAAACCACAGAGTCCGCAGCTGTCACGGTGTGTAAGGTTTTTGTATTTAAGCGCGAAGCTACAACAAACAAATCTGTATCAAAACACTGTCATTTTTACCATTATTCTAATAATGCTTAAAAGACATTCTAGGCCGATGGTCAGGTCTCGGAATGTCTGACAACCCCGGAGTGCGTTGGGGCAGTTGGGGTGGGGTGAGGGATGACCCGAGGTGCGCCTCACCTCGTGAGCGGATGAAAGGGCACGAGTGAAACTCTACAAAGTTGGGCATGTCTATTCACAGGCAGAGTCAATTGCATTCGGCATCCCCTTGACGACCAGCCGCCCAAAACGAAACTGAGCGGGGGTCACGACACAAGCGTCCAGAAGAGAAAACAGTGCGCACACAATTGCACACACACATCTGCATACTTGAGCCATCCGTACGCGCACGATCAAGTCAAGACGAGCCTGGACGAAGACGAGCGTCCAGGCTTATCTGAGCTGTATGGAAAAAAGACAACACCCAGTTGATCCTTTCTCGCGGACGACAAACCACGAAGAACAGGCTTTGTGCTGGGCAAACACTTAGATAAAGACGGCGACCAGCGCCATGAGCGCCAACGCAAGGGCGGAGGCGGTAGCTGTGAAACCCGAGGACTCTTCGCGCACGGCCACAAAGCCAGTCTTGACACCGTCAACGCTGTTTTCCCGGGCAAACACCTGGATGTTGCAGAGGATCGGAGGGCCATGAATGAGTGAGGGGACGACACGAATGTGTGGCGATGCCACACTGATTGCTTCCGTTCAATCCCACCAACACGAGTACGTACGCGGTACGAAAAGTCATAGGGAGATGCTCCGCCCAGATCATTGTCAAGGAATCGATACACGTTTGAGGAAAAGACCTTGTCACCTCCCGAAAAACCGGGTGTGCGAGTCAGAACATATTGCACGCTGCTGGGTGCCACCAGCGAACTGCCTCGCGAGTTTGCGCGCTGCTCATCATAAACGGGCACGTGAAGAGAGGCGAGCGTCAGGACAGAGGCCACACAGATCAAGACGAGGCTCGGCCCCATCGGCTCAAGATCAAGCCGTGGACCACGAGGTGCTCCATGCAGCTTTGCACCAAACGCAAGGGCACACGTACCAAGAAGTCAAGAGGAGGCAGCCACTGCACTTGGACGCACGACTGGTTGTAAAAAGTGGGTACGGTGACCATCAATGGTCGCTGGCTTTGGGGCTCAGCACGACGGCTATTATCCGCATACCTAATGGGCGGCGAGGCATGAGTTGGCTGTCGACCCACCCAAAAAAGAAAGCACTGCCATAGATACAACACACTGAGGGGCCAGGTGAAAGCGAGCGACAAAAATGACGACTCACCGGTCAACGAAGCAGTGCATGCGGCCAATTTGCTCGCTGCTGAATCGGGTGCGACAGCTATTGACGGTGTAGGACATGATGTTCTTCACGCTGCGGTCAGAATCCCTGTACACGTCGGCACCGTTGATGAATGAGTCGGTGGGAGGAAGCCGGTAAGTGCGAGATATCCATGGCCGCGGGGTTGGAGAGGACAACGCCCAGCACAGACGTACGGAAACTCATTGCCGTTGCAGTCGGTGGGAAAGCTACTGCCGGTAGTGCAGGAGGCCGTGTTGAAAGAATTGGCAGATGATCCCGAGGTGCCGTTGCGGACGGCATTGAGATTGGGCACCGCGGCCGTATCTGCCAAAAAGTCGCTAAAGTAGTATGAATTCTACGGAAAGGGGGGAAGGGTTGAAGCAAGGAGGGGCGAGATTGTGAATGAGCTCATCGGCCTTTACCAGTCGCTGGTCCCAGTTCTGTATCGGCGTTTGGCCAGCGCAAGGCTTGATCGCGGTCCTCTTGAGCAGAACTATGGACGGAGCAACTTACGCCCTCATATGCGCTTGCGTAGCAGCTGGGCTCCTCGCCACCAGACGCACAATAGTTGAGCAGGTTGGACTCAAAGTTGACACCTTGGTGCGTATGCAGTAGTCCTGCAGCAGAGAAGGCAGAGACAAAGCGAAGGCGCCAGTAAAAGTGAGTTTTGCGCTGCGGTGAGCCACAAACAAGACAAAAGCAAAAAAAAAAAAAAAAAAAAATGAATCACCAAAACCATGGGCCATCGTACCCAAAGAATGGCCAACTTCATGAGCCGTCGTTGCCCCGGTAGAGTCGGAGGCGCCGCCCTGCGACGATGACAAAAAGTAGCGGTAGTCGACGATGCAAAGATTGCCTGTGCTCGTGTTGACACGAGGAGGGGTTGAAGACATGAAAGAGGAGAAGAGGTAGAAAAACAAGGTTTTGGTGAGTTGCAACGGAAGCCAAACCAGCTCACAGCTCGGGTCCATTCCTCACGACGGCAGGCGCCATTGATCGAATGGTAGGTGGAGAAGAATTCTGGACGAACCCAAGAGACTTTGAGCATTGCCACTAGAATCTGGCATTTCCTCCATCATGGCAATGTCGGGGTAGCAGACGCCGCGAATGCTGTCCACGTCCAACTTGGTGACGAGAATGTAGGCTGAGGGATTGCAAAACCAGAACGTGAAGGGGCGACTCTTGGGATGCCGGAGTAGACAGGGGAAGCACGTACTGTGGTAGTCTCGTGCCGATGCAGTCGAGCCCATGTTGAAGACATCGTAAAAGTAGTTGATGACGTAATCCAGCTGCCTCGAGTTCACGCCAGCGCCATTGTTGGCTTGATCAAGACTATTAAAACGCGATGTGCTAATCTGCTCGGCCACCCCACACCCGATGAGCGGCCCAGCAACGCCCAGAAGCAAGTGGTGAGGCCCTCGCGATTTGGGCAATGGGACCACATTTGTGCGGGCCTGCGATGCGCCGACTGACGCCATACACACCTCAATGGAAGTATCGTGATCGAATTGGATATCGGCCTCTGCAAACAAGCTGTTCAGGTTGCCCACGGCTTCGTCCACCTGGGACGACGATACATAAGTCTCGGTTACTATTCAGATTCAGCCAGAAGCGAACCAGATGAAGAAGAGAAGGAAATTGAGATGTCATTGGAGCGCGAACAATAAGTAGTTCTACCGCCTGCTAAGGCGGTGGAGGCGGCGATGGATCACCAGGCGCAACAAACCGCTGCGAAGGGCTAGGACTTGGAGCTTGAGGTTGAGATTTGCGCGGTTGCTCACGCTGCCGTAGGCATTGGAGACGATGGGGATGAAGCACTCGGAGTAACCATAACTGGCACACCCCAAAGCCACAGCAGCCAGGTGCACAAAACGTTCATCGCGATCATCGCCGTGAGTTATAAAAAAAAAACCCCCCCTGAATCAAGCGAACATCTCTTCAGCGCGAGCAATTGAGGTGGGGGTGTTGGAACCCCATTCGTACCCAAGGGGGCTTGCGGCCCCATTGCGAGTGCACTCGGGGGTTGCAGCGCCATCCGTGGTTGCTTCAGGTAGCTATTTTAAGAAAAAATTGACCGAATTATGCAGGAGACGAAGGGGCGGGCGAAGGCGGGAAAAGCTTTGAGCTCTTGTGCCCTTTGGCTTCAACTGGGGTGAACGAATCAGAATTTCTTACCTGGTATCGTGCATCGGCATACTCGCTGCTGTCGCGGCGCTGATGGGTGCTACCGTTGTTGAGGCGAAAACGGCGCAGCTCGGGCAAGTCCAGGCCACAGTCACCATGACCTTGGACCGCCAGTGCCAAAGCAGCCAGAGCGGCTGCAAAGACAACCAGCAGCTTCATACTGGCAGAGGTTCCTGCTCAAGACCAACACGCACAATGGAGCAACCCACGCACAACCAGTCACCACAACCAGCCTTCCGACCGAAAAGGCAGCGGGAGATCAATACGTGAAGGGACGAGCGCCCGCGACGCGTTGTATCAATCAAACGATACACGCGAGAAAAAAAAAAAAAGTAGCTAAAGAAAAATGCAAGACCCACCCACACACAATGACGACGACAACGACGACGACAACGATAAGGAGGGGGGGCAGCGACGACAACAGCTATGACGGCTACGACGAGGACGAGGACGGCTACAACGACAGCCAAGAGCCAAAAGGCGTAAAAGGTCGTGGAGATGTTTCACCCCACCTACCGACCAACCCTTATGGGCTTGTGCATACACAGGTAACGTAAGCGCTTGTCTGTCTCTGTCTGTCTCTGCGTGTGTCTCTGTGTGTGTGTGTGTGTGTGTGTGTGTGTGTGTGTGTGTGTGTGTGTAATGCTGTGCTTCCCGTTGCAGGTGCTCGGGCGCTTTTGAGGATGCGGAGGCGTCTGTGGGTGTGTGACTCATGGGAAAGAGCCAGCCCATGCCCCTCTGCACACAGGCATGCAT